AATGTCAGCACTAAAATGGCTTCTTCCAACCACTCGGAGAAAGTATGAAAGGACCACCACCACCAGTGCAACACTGGCACCACTGAGTGTTTTGTTATTTTGCACATGCCACCACCATACGCTCCAATGGTTCCTCTTTCGCCCCGCCATATTTCCTCGATGGCTGCTGCTCGACGGATCGCACTTCCGGAGTTTTGGGCTGGAACCTCTGAGACCGCCGGCGTGGAGGATGATAATGCATTATGCAGTAGTCCAACGGCTGTTTTTTAATTGTTATTAACTCGCGATAAGCAGAACTTTAACACCTATGGTTAGACTGGGACGGAAAATGGGCCCAAGCATGCCAAGGGTATAATTTTAACATTTTATAAGCACTTAACAGCCAAAAAATAAAAATCCCCGGTTATGAACAGAGAGAGAAATTTTTGAGGAAAATTTTAGTTAATTTTAGAAAACACTGCATTGTTTAACTTGGTAGCTTAATAGGGCATTCATTATAATTATTTTTAGGGGAAAGGACATTAATTCTTTTGAGCCTTTAGTATATATTTTAAAATACTACAAATATTTTATTTCTGTGTAGTGCCTTTTTGGCCTTTCGCTGGCGGGGGGAACGGGAAATATAAATTGTCGAGACCGGTGCCCAAAATTCTACACTGTCATCAAAGCGTAACTAAACGCCCATTTTTCTCAACTTTTTCGAGTTTCTTTCGGGTCGTACAACCATTTTCGGTAGTTATTAGTGGCATATTTTGGCCTAAAGTGCGTGAACCATGTCGAACACAGGCAACACGGCTAAGAGACCAGGCTAACAGACGGGCCAACAAAATTTATTGTTTAGTAGTGGAGTCGGAGTGAAGTTAACAACAAAATGGACCTCCCAGCGAAAGAGAAAGACACGCAACAGAGGGTATTGCTATGGAATGGAATGGACTTGGCCAGAAAAAAATATTAACGCCTCGAGCGTTACTGTTGTTTTTGTAGAAGGTGAGAGGTGCTGTTGGTGCTGGATGGTAAGGCCACGGGTAAGGTGGCCCACGGGGGTAGGGGGTATTTTAAACCTAACCAAAGCAAACCTTATTGGCTGATGTCCGGAGACCGACCACCATCATCGATGGTTGGATGCTCTCCGACGACTACCACGATGATGATGATGGCGTTGATTATGGCTTATTTTCAAATCTCACCCATATATACATTTTGCCCCACCTCCTGCCTATCCACTTCTTGGAAGTAGAATAAATACAACAAAAAAGCAAAGCAAATTATGTGGAGTCATCAATGGCAGGCCAAGCCATCAGAATCGTAGCATCTCGGCTCCAGAGTGGGAGTGGAAAGCACGCAAACTCTGAGATGAAGATCTGACTATAGCTATGGCTCTGGCTCTGGGATGTTGGCCATTGGTGGCTGTTATATGGCCGAGAGTGCTGGGCAATTTTCTGAATGCAGCTGGGTGTCTAAATTACCTGTGGCTTAGATGGTCATGAATTAGTCTAGTGAGAGATTCATCTGTAGTTTTTATAAATCATTGATGGGGATTGCCAGGGTCTTACTTGATACTTTTCTACAAAATCACACATTAAATACTAAATACAAAAACCTAAAATAACAAATAAAAGTATTTCCTAAACCCAACAATAAAGAGATCACGACCCGTTCACTCCCCAATTATCACAATAAATCCACCATAAGAACCAAAGAAAACATTTACAACCTTTGCAGCATCTCTTGGGGTAATCGTCTCATGTCATGCCCATTAGGTGTCGATCAATATCGGACGCAATAGCGATCATCTGGACCGATCGGTTCAGACAGGATTTAAGCGTAAAATCGAGTGCAATAAAACATGCAGAAGGCACAGCAAGTGCCCAGGACTGTTTTCAATCAACAAAGAAAGGACACGCTCAGGAGATCTTCAGGAGAAGATGATCGCGAGCTGTCCATGATGATCGCCGAGATGATCACGGGACTTACAAGAGGGAATTTTGGAACCCAAGAGAACCCCGAGGCAAACTCAGGACCCCGCTCGAAGCGTATCATTTTTGCACGGCACATTAGTTGTTTTGTGAAACAGGAGGCCCATAAACGCAGCACAGTGTTGCAAATTTTTATTTGGAAGCAATTTTCACACCCTGCAAGGGACAAAACCGGGAAACTCGGGCTCCGAAAAGTCATGCAGCGATCGGTGCTGACCTATGTATGACCCCTGGCCAGTGGCGGATAGCTGCTGCTGCTGCTGATTTTACCAATTCTGCTGACAGGACACAGCGTTGCTAATTCGACCATGCTCTCTACCCGCCTGTTGACAACTGAGCAACCCAACGAATTCATAGATCCACAGGGCTCAGAGGGCACAAGGGCGGAGGGAATCCTACAACTTGCAGACGCAAAGTTGCAAATGATGCCAAATGATTGCCGACCATATAAATTCCGATTGTGAGCGATTAGCAGGACCAGGTACAGGACCTCCTCCTGCTCCGCCTGCGTTTTAGATGCGCTTCATCGCCAGGCGATTATTTGCAATTATGAGCCTAGATTTTACACTTTTAGGGAAACAACACCCACTCTGTCCCGAAAGGTGTAAGAAACTGAAAATGTTTAGGCCGGAAAAAGTTTGACTTTTCGACTTGTTTGGGAAACTCCCTAAAATTCCAGCATTCACTTTTTGTGCAATAATTTTCAAACTACGACAAAGAATGCACATATATATAACCCAATAAAAGTTTGACTTCTCGACCAGTTTCCCTAACAAGCTGCTATTTTGGTAAATTATCCTTGAGACACCAGCTCCTTGTTGGTAGACCAGACAGTTGTCCTTGGGCATAAAAGTCCAAGGACGCACACAACACTGCTTGGTTTCGCCTCTTCAAGGTTGAGTCTCTCGGGGGTTTTGGGTTTGGTTTGTTTAGAATTGTTGTGGCGTTGTTTTACGCATAGATATTATATTTTGATGGATTAGCCATATCAGATTGAAGGTCGGAACTTGGTTAGCCTCGAATTTGTTACGAACTGTTTTGTAGTGGCTAACCAGTGTACAAACTCGATACAAATAGAGTAAGGAAATGCCTAACAGATTGGGATTATTTTTAGAAGACTTTAAAATAGATTTGATAATAATTTAACTGAAACCAAATGGCTCTTTAATGATTACTACCCATTAAGAAATTACCACCACTGTCTGTATCTGGCATTATTTAATAAATAGACCCATCAGACTATATCTGACCGATTCGGGTTGGTTTTACAACCTCCGAAAAGAGGAAAGACTATACCGGGAGAGTGATGATCGGTACCTACAGCAGCGCGGAGAAAAAGTTCAGATTTTATGATTTATTTACATTCCAGCCTTCTGTTCTTACTCACCCGACGAATGTGAACGTCTGGGAGTGCGTGTGTGTCTCATCATTTGGTTTTTCCCGAGCAATAAAATTAATAAGAACGCGCTAATTTTTCCGGCCCCGGCCCCGACCCCGGCCCCGTGGCCTAAGCAAATAAATGCACAATTTCCTGCAACTCCTTCTTTACCCTTTTCCTTTGGTTACTAACTCTTTTTTCCAGCGCCCAGACTGTGCTAATATTTGCCAAGGGATTTTTGGCCTAAAGCGACTAACGGTTCGAGTTCCATTGGCCATTTTGTTCTTCCTGTTTTTATTTATTTTCAATAATTTTATATTTCCTGTGCTTCAAAATAGAACATTAATAGAAAAAATCCATTTATATTTCGTTTAAAATGGCCGAAACATAAAAGAGAAGGAGTTGCCAGAAGGGGAAATGGGGAAAAGTAGAGGGGGATACCTGCCTTTATTTAACAACACACATATGACGCCGCCACTGTCCAATTAGTGGAAGCAGCCGGGTTATGGTTAAGGAAAAGGTAAGACATAAAGTCAGCTCTGAATGTAATGGCCCAAGTGTGAGAGAGTTGGCTGCATTCGAGCCAAGTACATAAGGCTGCAGACGACTCCGAAAAATCTACTCCGAAAAGAGGCATAAAACTTGTTCTGGCCAAGAGGGCATGTACACACAGGCAACAAACTAAGGAATTTCTTGTGGTATTTTTTCTAAATAAGAGAAACTATTTAATTAGTAATTGTTACTTATTGTTAGTAGGAGAATTTTAAATTCTAGAAACTACTTTTCTACTAGAGATACTGATATATGTATTACTAATGATACTGATGATGAGATGATGATGAGATACTGATGATAAAAACGAATTGAAAAACATGCACTAACATTTATTATTAGTTTTAACTATATAACTATTAGTTATCAAATAAAACTATTTCACTACATTTAAACTACAATTAAAATTTAAATAGTAATAAATATTTCCATTAAAAACTAAACAGAAAAATGTAAGTTACTCTACCATTACTCTACCAAAGGTATAAAAGCCAAACCTCTAACACAAAACCCCCTATTATCCATCAAAATGATTAGTTTGAAACCGCAAATAACAAAAACGGTAAGCATATCAAAGCAGCCATAAAAATTTAACTTATAAATGCCTCGCGAAAAAAGGTTAGCCAAAAAATTGCCACAAATAAATATAATTAAGTGCATTTGCCCGGCTGAGGTTGATGCTATTACCAAATTTCATCAGATTGCGCAAATAATCTGGCAATACAATCGATTATTATACCGAAAATGCCGAGCAGCAGAGTTTTTCCATTTCCGCCATTTCTTATTGGGCGATCCCAGCTATATAAGACGCACACAGTCGCACCGAGATATATATAGTCCGGATAGAGCGAGATGTGATACAACGAAGAGAAGACACGATCGTGTAGGAAGTATAGGTGGCAGGTATAGCCGAGCTCTTCTGGCGCACGGATAAGCATGGCGTTCGAGCCATTGCTCCGCCCCACTCTAACTGAATGGAATATAGCGATCGCCGATCGGGTGTCAACCGAAAAAACCGAAGACTGACGAGGCGATCGGAGCGGATCGGGCATCTCGGAAATCGGGTCGCTGCTGACAAACGCAGAGTCGTTGGAAAGAACGCACCGTGTGTTTCAGTTAAGTGTTGGCGCTTAACCGGGCAACAATCTTTACTCCTCCGCTCGAATCGAATTAAACAAGAAGAATCGTCGCGTTAAACCAAACTCAAGCACCGATCTACTATATAACTAGAGCAAGCCAAGAGAGTGTTCTTCTCGATTAAGTCTATACAAAAACACACACATCAACTATTTGGGAAAACTCGCACAACACAAGTCTAAGATTGTTGTGTGTCCCATGATTGCCGTGTGATCATCATCGCCGGTCTTCGATTTCGCAATTAATTCCACAAATATGAGCAGCAATATCGGCATACGCATGCTAATGATGATTATGCCTCATTTATAGTGCGCTAATTGAACGCGAAATTGCTCGATAAAATAAATATAACCCTAACCATTCGCAAACAAATAACAACAACTCAACGCAAAATCAAATATATATCAAATAATATATTAGCAAGTGTTAGTGAGTGTGTGCCGTTCAAACACGAATTTAACAATAATGGATATCAGCTATATCTTTGTGATCTGCCTGATGGCCCTGTTCAGCAGCGATAGCAGCATCGTTCCCGTCGAGGGCAAACAGAAATCCGGCAGGGGCCGGGGCTCCATGTGGTGGTAAGTCCGTCAAATATTTTCCATTAAATGCTCAATTGCAGTGACCAATTAGCGGTTGCTTCCAAATAACTTAAGCAAACAGCAGCCGAAAAAAAATAAAATAGTATAGGTGCCAGATGTTGGAGAACAACAACAAGGCACGCGCCCAAAAAAGTTTTTGAGAAACATTTCCCACCGCAACAAACATGCCTCCAAAAAGAAAAAAATAGACCCTATAGGTCTTGAGCGGTCACGCACTAAATGCGGAAGCCACAAAATGCACAATATAAAATAAAGCTTCAACTTCTTGAAAGATGTTGTTTTTTTATCTTTCTGCCTCTTCCTCTGATGAAAGCAATTAAAAATTCTAAGCGCGCATCCAACTTTTACTTGGGACGAAGTCTGCGAGTGTGTATGTGTGTGTGTGTGACACAGTTTAAGATATGAATGGAGATTTTTTTTAGAAGAATAGTAATACGAAAGATTTTTGAATGAAAGCAACATAGTTTTTTTTAACTTTTTCACAAAAAATGCATTAAAAAGGGCTGAACTGCAGCCGTAGGGAAATCAAGTTCGTTGTCTAAGTCTTTTGTTTTTCTTCAAGAAAAAATCTTGAAATAAAATGGAAAAAATTTGTAAAAATTAAATTCTAGATTTTTTAACAACAACAAAAATATTAAGAGGCCTGAATAACTTAAAAATAAATTTTTAGACAAATATTTTATTTTTAACCAACTTTTATTTGTCATAACCCACAAAAAGCTTCCATAGATTCCCCAGCTGTGATGAGTTGTTTGTTTGACTTTTATCATGTGCAAAACTTCAGCTAAGCCTTAATAACTTTTTATAACGGCATAAATTTCCGTCTCAACAATAAAAAATCAACACAAATACATAAAAAAACAGTCAGAAAAACACACACACAAGTAAATGTGACTTCGGATTGCCGTCGCATAAATCTCGGTTGGGGAATCGTTTTAATCCGCCTGGGAATTGAAATCGATTGGCACAATCCCCCGACCCGTGGCAGATGTTACACTTTCGATCAAGTTTTTTGTTTTATTTATGAACATTTTTATTAATTTTCATCGCATTGCGCAATTGTTTTAAATGGAATGCCCGTTTTATTCCCACCGTAATCAACATTCAATTGAATTGGCAATTAATTTGCATTCCCAGAGGCCTGTCAATAAACATTTGGTTATGTTTATTTATTGTTTGTTGTGCGTACAAGTATAAATAAATATATATATATATGAAAATATAGATATGTATATGAAGCTACTAATGAAGCGAGGAACATGCTGAAAAATACTATAAAGATCAACAATCGAAACAAGAAAATAAATTATGACAGGTCAGAGAGGAGCAAAGCGTTTGCCGACAAGTGCCGGCAAATATTTGTCTATCTGAATAGTATATGTGTATCTATGGATAATACCCGTGTGTGTGGTTTATGCTTGAGTAACGCCGGCAATTGACGTGCACCGCCCAGGCCGCACGGACAGAAAAGCCGCAAAATGAAAAACCGAAAAAATAATACACACATCGAAAAGAAAAGCAACACCGTCTCTCAAGTCAAGTGGAAAGACACACAAAACCCTGGAAAATATGACAAAAAACCAACCCATAACCAAAGACAAAGATGTCATGGCAATATATATGTTTCAGCTGTTGGAAAACCCTCGATCCCCACATTCCCATTCTCATAATTAGGCGCAAAAACCAAGCCAAGCATTAAATAGTTTTGACAACCCATTTTTTTTCGTTCTTCTCTCGATTGCTCTATTAACTCTTGGGTTTTCTGGTCCATTTTCTTTCAGGGGCATTGCCAAGGTCGGCGAACCAAACAACATTACACCCATTATGTATATGGATCCGGCCATTCACTCGACACTGAGAAGAAAACAGCGACGTTTGGTCCGAGACAATCCTGGCGTTTTGGGAGCTCTTGTCAAAGGCGCCAATCTGGCCATAAGCGAATGTCAGCACCAGTTCCGGAATCGCCGCTGGAATTGCTCGACGAAAACCATTTCGAGGGGCAAGAATCTATTCGGAAAGATCGTAGATCGAGGTAAGTTGTAAAGAAAATTAGAAAAAAGGGTGCGGATTAAATTACAAGATTGCAATCTTTCGGATACAAATTCAAATCTCATCACATGCGGGTATAATTTTTGTCAGCAATCTCCTTCAAATCTCAATTAGCTTCTTCAGGATCCTAACGATCCCTGAGAAATATGATCTATGCAACAACTATTGCTGTCAACGCCTTCGTTTTAACAATATGTGCAGTTGCAACTAGAAAACAAGGCAACTAAACACAAATTGCTTGCATAACCAACTGAAAATCCAGTTTTTTTTCCTTCGGTTTCCACTTTATTTATGTTATGAAATGTCACTCCCCTGGACCTCTTACTTGGTGGCGCTTGTTTGTTATTGTAATACGATCTGAGCACTTGGTAATATGTATATTTTATACATATATGCATATATGGGTTGACTACCCTTTTGAAGAGGCCACTTTCCCTCGGACAAGGAACAAAGAGTGCGCATTGTGTGCTGGCTGCACTTGCTCCACTTGGATTTCAGCGCGTTTATGCTAATGAGGACAAGTTGGCAGCACCACTGAACTACCAAACCACTGGGCTCTAAAGGACAACCAGACAGACGACACAGACTGTTGTCACTCACTCAGTCAGTCAGCTAGTCAGTCAGCCATTCAAATCAATCAAACGTGCTTGTCGTCTTCGGGGAGTTTTGTTCGCCTGCTGCGCCAAACAGCAAAATCCCAGGAGAACAACTCCCAGTTGTTCTTATATCAATGTAAACAAAAGTCGCGCATGCCCAGATCTTGTCCTGCCGCGTTTTTAGCTAGAATTGCAGTCGCCTGCCGTTTTATTAGCTACCGTTTTGTCCTGCTTCCTGAAGATCCTGTATACTGCAAACTGAAAATTGAAAACTAAAACTACCTGGTGTGATGGCTCACAGATATATACAGAATGGATATGGATATGCATTTTAGGGCGTGGCCAGCGTCGCGTGGCTTCGATCCCTTACGACTGTCAGCAGCTGACTTTTATAGCCAGGCTCTTGACCTTATCAAGTTATTTTGACTCTTCACTAACATCCTTTTTATGAGCCCCTCTTTTTTTCGGCAACTCTTGACATTTTATGGATTACTTAAATACAAGACTGAGAGAGAGAGGAAAAAAGGGAAATTATTGCCCTGGTGACAGCTTTTTATCGCAGCACTTTCATCGCTTTCCACAATCAAATTTTTAATGTTTTTTTCTGTGCCCTTGGCCCTAATTAACACCTACAGAGAGCACCATTAACACTTGGGGTTCGAATGCTAACCGAACGGAACCAGTGGCTCTAAAACTAAAAATTCAAGAAAGAAATAAACCCTACCAGCGGGGCACACCAGATTCCAGGACATAATTCATACAGCCTGTCGCCGAGGGGACTCTTTGTGTCCACTTTTTCGGGTTGGGCTTAGGCTTCTCTAACTTGTTTTCTAATTGGTGACACCTTGTCAATTTGCCACGCCACACGCTTTAACAGGCTGTCTCTATTAGTGATTTCTCGTCGGGGGTAGAGATTTCCGTTTTTGGCAATCATCGGTTCGTGACGAAGCCACCCCGGGTGTCCTTGCTGTATTCCTGTGGGTTTTATATCAAGAGGTCTCTTAACTATTCCTGGAACTGCTGTCACTAAGCAGCTTATCCCAGCGATGAGCTCTAGTCCCTCATACTTTTCATACTTTTTTTTTGGCAGTTGCTCAGCTCGGAGATCAGCAGGCTAAATCCTGCTCCTGATTCTCCTCCTTTTTGGGCTACTCTGGGTGCTCTCAATTTCAATCAGTTTGCGACACGCCCACTACCAGCGGAAATCCGTTTTGGCAATTATACAAGAAATAAAAAAAAAAATAAAACCATATCGTATTACACATACGGAAATTTTACTTTTTTTTTTGGTTGCTCCATTTTGGCCACACCCCGCTCATTTGGCATTTCTTTGGTTAATTGCCCAGGGTACTGGTACGTAGGTACTCCAACCCCCGATCTTTTTCAATTTATTATCTTTTGTTCGCTATTTACACAAGAAACCACGAAAGGAGAGTACGAAATGCAAACACCAAATAAAAAATAAAAAACAAAAACGAAATTACCTTTCTCGTTGTTTTTCGCTTCCAAAAGGTAACGCGAATTCTTGCTAAGCTAATCACCAGAAAACAAAGTCACCAATGACTGTGTCACGCCTCTGTACTGTACGCTACGGAGTTCCAGGGGAAAATCCCCTACCACCCACGCCCCTGCGAGCCCCTGGATACTGAAGCCAAAACGTTTGCGCATGCGCCGCTTTCTTATCGCGGCCCAAACATCTTGCACATATTTACACACAATTTACCTGTGTGCGCCTTAAATTTTGTTACAAACGTGAAATTATTTAAGGAAAAACGAAACCACCAACAACAAACAAACAAACATTAACCGGGAATTGAAAATAAAAAAAAAGAGCATGGTGGGAGAAACAAATCATTTCTTTTCGGTTTCGTTCGTGGTCGAATTCCAGGAAATCGAAATCAAAAGCGGCGAAAACCAAGCGGAAGTTGTTTGGGTGATATAGCCTAGCATGGGTATACGTCAATCGTCAAGTGTAAACTAGTCAATCATAGGTACATCAATCAACACCTTGGATTTTTTCCAAGGCGAATGGTAATTTTTAGAATGCCTCAAAAGAACAGAAAACATTTAATTTTAAAAATGGTTCTTAAATATAAATCTTAAGTTTTGAAGTGCTTGACACTCCACACACAATTCATTTGTAGAATTCAAAAACCCAGTTGACAGTCCATCCGCTTACTCATACTTTGTACCCAGGAATTTCCAGCTACCTGAACGGAGAAGATACAAGACCAAACCCTATAAATATATATCATATCTTGAGCTATGAACTGAGGCGAAACCACTTGAAAAATTATCTGCAACATGTAAATTCAATTTTCATTGTTCTTTATCTGTGATGGTCTCCTCGGACTCTCAGGCCAGAAAACTGAAACAGAAGCGAGGGTCCGCACGGAGGCAGTTACTAAAAATAAAAAATACAAAAAAAATTTATATGGGGTATATGGAGAAAAAAAGAGGGGAAACTGTCCACTCGACTGGATTGTGCTGCGATGGACCGAAAGTGTTAAGTTGGAATTTATAGTTGAGCGTTTAATCTGTGTCAGGTTTTGGTGGGCTCATCTCTCTTTTCCACTGTGGCACGGTGGCATTGATAACTTGAAGTGTCATAATTGACCAGACTTTGGAAGACAAGTGTCATTATTCATAACAAAAATTTTCATAAAGAAACGCTTGCCCACGACGACGAGGAGGACTTGACTTGACTTGACTGAGATTGAGATCTTGTCTTGGGGGATTGTGTGTTGGCCAAGTGGAACACCCAGAAGGCTAAGAAAATAATGATGGCATTGAAGGAGAAACAATAATTCAGTTGAAATATTAATTAAAATTTGTATATTAATCCTAAAATTTATATTATTTCTTGCAGGTTGCCGTGAAACTAGCTTCATCTACGCCATCACCAGTGCGGCTGTGACTCACTCCATTGCCAGGGCCTGCAGCGAAGGCACCATCGAGTCCTGCACCTGCGACTACAGCCACCAGTCCCGATCTCCCCAGGCCAACCATCAGGCTGGCAGCGTGGCCGGAGTTAGGGATTGGGAATGGGGTGGTTGCTCTGACAATATCGGATTCGGATTCAAGTTCTCCCGGGAATTTGTGGACACTGGCGAGCGTGGTCGCAACCTTCGCGAGAAAATGAATCTGCACAACAACGAAGCAGGACGAGCGGTAAGTTTTATATTTTTACAAAAAAAATTTGAGATTGTTTTCTCAGGTTTTTAGTAATAAGTAGTCCTAATACTCGAAGACTGGCTGCCATGGGGCGATTTACGACTGGAGCGCTAATAAAAACCAGCGACAACAATTTCCGTCCCCGCAATTAATTGGAGCCGAACGCCAATTGGCCTAACTGCCAAGGAATAAGCTCTCTTCCCATCTCTTTCCCTACCACATTTTCTGTCTCTTTTCCCAGGGGAAACAAGTATATGTGGGGGATATCTGCACTCGTTTGCGCTTGTGTCGCTCGTATATTAACTCGTTGACAGCTTCCAGTTCCCCTCCACATGCAAAAAAATAGTAGGACTTTGGTTTTTTAGGGGTATAGTGGCACAGTGGTGGATAAATCCAGAATATTATATAAATTTAATAGGAAAGTTGGGGTTCTAAGAATCTTGCTAAATGATTGTCCAAACAGGACATTATATTGTGGAATATATAACTTCTTAGATATCATTTCAACCTATATCTAAACCACTGTGCAACTCCTCTCCTGCTGTCCGTTTTAGTGGGGCGTAGAAAGTAGCTCACTGCGCCAACATCCAACATTCAGCATTTAAGATGCAGCTTTTGCGACTAGAGCCGTTCGATGCCGATTCCACCGGATCCGGGTCTAGTCCTCTGGCCTCCTCCTTGCACCACTTGGGACCCATTTTAGAGTGCAGGGCCCACCATCTGTGTTATTATTTTATTACTTGTTATGGGCCGCAGCTCCATAATCATTGCGATCGGCACGATGATGATCGTGGGGCTGCTGCTTTGGCCCCCAACTGCGTTGATTTCTTACTTTTGGTCTGCGCAGCATCAGCAGCAACAACAATTACAACATGCAACAACGCAGCACAGCTCAGCAAGTTGCAACAACATTTATTGATTTTTAATAACTGCAACAACGTGGCAGGCGGGCCGCCAATCTCCCAGCCAGTCAGTTAGCCAGCCAGCCAGCCAGCCAGGCAGCCAGTCAGACAGAAAAAAACAGCAAAATAATTAAGTGAAAAACATATTGCGAGTCGAATCGCAAGGAGCCTAATAAAGTCATACTAATGAACGATCTCTCATGATTTTTTATTTTTTCATTTCATCTACAGCACGTTCAGGCGGAGATGCGACAGGAGTGCAAATGCCACGGCATGTCCGGTTCTTGTACAGTGAAGACCTGCTGGATGCGATTGGCCAACTTCCGTGTCATCGGCGATAATCTGAAGGCTCGCTTCGATGGTGCCACCCGCGTCCAGGTCAACAATCATCGTAGTCAGAACTCCATACCCGTCATCAGTCCCAATGCTGTGGGTTCCAATGCGGCAGGACCGAATGCCCTGATGCCCCAGTCCGTGGTTTACGGCGAGGAAGAGGAACGCATGCTGAACGATCATATGCCGGATAGTCTGCTGCTGGAAAACAGTCATCCTAGCAAGTCCAACAGCTTGCCACAAGCTGGTCAGCCCAACCGAAATGGACATCGTAGGGGTCGCAAGCACAATAGGTAAGGATCTTCATCCATTTTTCTTCTAAATGTTCGATTCATTTTAGAATTCGAAAGAATCCTTTACAAGATTATACAATATACTAACTTTTGTTTATATTTTTGTCTCTCCTTCAGATACTCCTTCCAACTGAACCCCCACAATCCGGAACACAAGCCACCAGGCTCCAAGGATCTGGTCTACCTGGAACCCTCGCCTAGCTTCTGCGAGAAGAACCTGCGGCACGGAATCCTGGGCACACACGGGCGGCAGTGCAACGAGACCTCGCTGGGCGTCGACGGCTGCGGGCTGATGTGCTGTGGGCGTGGCTACCGAAGGGACGAGGTGGTGGTGGTGGAGCGGTGCGCCTGCACCTTCCACTGGTGCTGCGAGGTCAAGTGCAAGCTGTGTCGAACGAAGAAGGTCATCTACACGTGTCTGTAATGGGGCATGCCCCACACACCCCCTCTCTATAATAGCTTGTCCCGCCCCGCTCCACCCCCCTCTTTGTATGTGTTATGTATTTTGTCTACGCTTAGCCTTTGTTATTAGCACTTTAAGAGCCTAGACTATAGCTTAGTTAAAGATGCAGCTAACCCACCCGGAACAGAAAACAAGGAAGCCCCCCCTTAATCCTTTATGTCACACTCACTTTTTTTGTAGCAGTATTACACAGGAGGAATATAAACGAGTAGATTTCAAGAAAAAGTGAAAGAGTATATAAGCCAGAACATGTGTTTGCCCAGTTTTTAGTGAAGTAAGCGAATGATATAAATAATCCCTGGAAGAAGAAACTATTTTGTAAATTACAAAGCCCCTCGATTTTTTACCCACTAGATATAAAACTTAATTTTAATTTAGCTTAAAGTTTTTTTCCAAGCGCGTCCCCTTTTTCCTTCGCCTCTGTCGTATTAAATCGTTTTTTATTGAAAACAAGACTGAAAATTTTTAAATAACGCGCATCTCTCCTTCTCTGTTGAACTGCTTGTACTGCTTGCACACTGCTTTGGCCAGGACCAAAATGTATGCAAAGTGGGCAGGACGAAAGGTCCTTCGAAAAAAAAAAGAAAATTACGAAAGCCAGGGCTGGAAAATGGAAAATTTCTATGGAATAAAATACGAAAAACTCCATTGCCTGATCATACAAAATCTATTGTGTAAATAATTAAGCTTAAATTTTTAATTATAGTGTTTTAGGCTAAATTCAAAATGCTTGGAATTTATGAAATTTTGCACATAAGAGAGAAAAAATCATATGAAATATTATTTTTTTTATACGAATCGCATTTTAATTTATAATCTCCCCACCACCTGCCTTTTTCGGTTGTGCGTTCTCCCCGCCCATCGTGCCCCCTATATAGGTATTACTAATTAATTAAATTCACTTAGCTGGCTAGTTAAACTATACATATACAATTAAGTGCACAATTAGCTGATACGATTATAATATTTAATTAATTTATACTAGCTCATAGACATTCAATTCTGTAAAGTATTAATGCGAAGGAAAACAAGAAACAATGCTGAAACTAAAAAAAAATCCAGCGAGAGAAGAAAAATGCGAATGCAATCGAAATAAAAAATCGAAAACCGATGAATGAGTAAAAAAAAAAAAACAAAAAAAAATACAATTACAAAAAAAAATTCAAAGTGGAATTTATTTGTGCAATTATTTGCGGGCAATTAGTCTGAGAGAGGTCAGGGCTGCCCCAGATCCCCGTTGATCTGGTATGGTATTTTTTTTCAATATATTGTAATATTGATTTAAGGTTAGCGCTTCGTTTCCCAGCGAAATTTTTTTGTTGTTGTTTTATTCGTTTGGTGCTTGGCCACTGACCACCAATGGAACTCTCAGGGCACGAGAGAGGTAGTCTCGTAATCGAGGTACCTTAACAAAGTACAGAAAACAGCGAACAACAAGCAGCGACAGTTGCATCTTTTGTATATCGTCGGCAAAAGTCGCCATTCCAGCTGACAATGCGAACGACAATTCCGCGCTGTCAGCCAGTCGGCGAGCCGTCGAATGTGGCTTTCAAGTTTTAGCGACCAGGAGGATTGAGGATTGCGGATTGAGGATTGTGGATTGAGGTCTGGTCCAAAGATCTTCGGCGGTGGAACGACATGCAATTGCCGGGCCAACTATGCAACCTGACATCCGACAGATCTAGACGAGAGACCATGAGGCTGAGATAAACCTAAGCCTGGATGAACGCTTGCATTGATCCTGATTTTAGCTACTGATCTCCAGATGAAGATGGAGCTAACTAAATACACACACTTCTCACAATAAAATACAACAGCTGAAAGAAAACTAAAAATAAAAAGTGATTGTGCTACATGTGTCCACTTGGGTTGACAGTTTTGTTTCCAACATCGGATGGGAATATTATTTTACTTTCAAGGGAACGGGATACCAAAGAGATGTTTGATTAGCTGATGATTAAAGAACCTTGAACTTGCCAACCTAAAGCTTTATCTCATCTACAAGTTACAACTTTAATTTAATCCACTACTTTATCCTTTTATCCAAGCCCATTCAGCTGGTAATAATTTATATTGAAAGACAAGATCACCTCAGAGAAATCGCCCTACTTCAGATCCCCTATCTCAAGACTTACATGCAAGTAAACCTTATCCTGGTTTCCCCCATTATGTCAGTTGTAATTAGAGGAGTGATTTCAAATGCCTGGCAAATGATTCACGATCTGTTGGCCTCAACGCCCCAACTCACAAGATTAAAAAAAAAACCGCTAAAATCAATACACGGGAAAAATATTTAAAACCAAGGCCATCTTGAGAATTTTTCGTATTTTAAACCATTAAATATTTTCCTTTGATTTTTTTGTGTGTCGCCTGGTCTCCTGGCAACCCATGTGGCTGGCTTATTGGCATTATTGGCCATCTTATAACCCCACGGGGCACATAGTACGCCTAGTTAGAGATTGACGTGCCATTGTTGTTATTTAGTTGGCACGCCGAGGCGACAATTGTCGTCTCCAATGAGTCGTTGTCGCATCTTTGGACTCTTGTCGCTGTCTGGAGACCCCAAAGAGACATTGCTCCTAATCAATAAAACTAACGAGCGGATTAAGATTATGTTGCCGTGGCAGTTACAGTTTTAGTTATTGTGGCCGCAGTTCCAGTTGCAGTTGCATTTGTGCAGAATCCACCGAGGCGAGAGAGACCAAAAGCGGCGCACGTTCAACCCAAAAATGGTCAGGCGGCCTAATGAATTGCAAGTCGCCAGCGTTGTCCATTCGGCCAGCCTGTACAGCATACAAAATTGTAAAAAAAATAGAGGAAAATAATAAAAAGTTTAAGGAGAGATGGGTTAAAAGCCGATTTTAAAAACACTCTAATATTCCCGAAAGGACTATAAAGGGCAAAGGACTTAAATAGGCTTTCCAAAATAAGATTCCGGATCTTTAAGCTTTATATTTTCTTAAAATAGTACTTTGAAATACTATGTATAAAACCCTTTTAAAATAATCACAATACCCTTGGTAAGGATAAAATTAATCGAAATAAAAAAAAGGCAGACAATAAAGCGAATCGGGAACCCCAGGTTGGTCATCTTCCGTCGTTCCGATCGGCGGATCGATGGATCGATCGATGTTGCGCATGAGCGTTCAATGGTTGAGCTCTGGTGATGTGGATGTGACAATGACAGTTGTTGTTCGTCATGTTTGGAGCATGTATTGCCTTCATGCCCCGGCTACACTACCAGCACCACTACCACCACACCACCACCTTGCATCGCCCCTTGATCCACTTGCCACTGATCCTCGCTTTTGTGTTGTAATTGCAGACGCCACACGTTTCGCGCTCTGTTTGATTTGGAAATTGCAACAGATCGGCTCGGAATGGGCAATATATTGCGATGGGGGCATCTCATTGACTTGGCATTCCCGGCACGCGCACTTCTTGGCATGACAAGACTTTCGAGCTTCCCCCTTTCAAGTCCTCCCCTTACCCACTAGAGGCTCTTTTGGCCAAAAGGGCCACAATGAAAATTTTTGACACAGGTCTCGTCGCTGAGTGCGTTGTGTTAATTAAGTGGCAATTGTTGCGAGGCGTGAGAATTGGTCGGATTAGGTAAGGAAATACATAATACCTTGGTAAAAACCAGGGTTTAAGCACAGATCAGGGTTATCACTTCCGGATGGTTATATTTAATAGAATATTAGACCAAGAATAAGATACGACTTTTAATTTTTTATAAAGTTTATCCCAGATACCTAACTTCAACCCTAATTGTAAAACTTTTGGTAGCTTTTAGGACAAAAACTCCAACTTTAGTGCCATTTTTTAAACCCAACCGTATAAAAACCCAGTTGGCCTAGTGCCTTTGGCTATCAATCATCGGCGGAGGCCCTGTTAACATGGGCGACAAGTTCTCCGATTGAGGACGCTACCAGGAAGCAATGACCAAGCACGGACCACCAGAGGAGCAACTGGTAATGCCCTCGGAGACCGACTAGACCACAGTCTATGGACATTGGAGACCGACCGTAGACCGGAGACTCCCGACCATGTAATTAACAGCACGCAAAAAGTGTTTGCGAAGCGTTTATGGAATGGGACGCAGCTATTGGATATGGGTGTCCCATTGGCGATGGAGATGACGATGGCAATGGGATGGAGGCGACACGCATGTAAACATTACCATTTTTGGCTAAAGACGCGACAGCTGGTGGGATATCAGGACTTGACTACAGGCTATCGGCCACTCAGAAAAATATATGAAACGAAATGTATCATGGCCAAAATGTCTTTTCTTTCATATCTTAATAGTTTACAATTTATGAACAATAACATTATCTTTATTACTTTCTTTTTATATTTTTAAAGGCCTTTTCATCTCAATTTAAAGCCAGTTTCTCTCTGTACACTTTCCATTCCCTTCCTAGCTGGGTGGCCAAGCTGACATCCACTGATGATCGTAATTGAGTTACAAAAAGGTCAATCGATGCTGGAGTGTCAGTGCTCGACTTTAATTTATTTTATAATTACACGCACTTTATGCCTAATTAGTTTTGTATTTTTTTCTGCTATCCCCCCCTCTGTGCCCCTTTTTTTTGCTTCCTTTCGACCGTTTCCTCTCCGCTAAAGTTGTGCCTGTCTGTCGGTCGGATCGGTGCCACAAAAAAGTTTCCCATCATTTGGCTTCCATTATGCAGCGTTCGCGGCCACCGAATTCCAGAGGTGCGCGCGAATGGGCGTCAGGTTTGCACACACACACTCACACACAACCTCATACAACCAGCACAAACACACATGTGTGTTGAAGAAAATAAAGGCCGAACAAAGGCGTAGGGCCAGGTGTGGAAGAAGGGGGCTAAGCACTACCATGTTGGCGGAAAGAGGGGTGCTGCGCCTGGGTGCCGGCTACAGTTCGCAGACCTCCTCTGGTTGGAACTCCACTGACAAAAATATTTATCAATTATGGCTAAGCTTTTTGTAATGAGCCTTAATGGTTACTATGTTTCTCATTCTTGGAGTTAAATATCAAGATGTCTTTGGAAGTATGGTTGTATAAATATCCTTTCTATGCTAATCTTTTTACTTTCTTAATCTAGTATCATTACTATAACGTGTAGGTTAAATTATTTTAAAACCCAAAAATGAAAGTGTAAATATTGTGTCTCAGTACGAGAAGAACCACCGACTTGAAGCAATCATCGCATCGGGGCGCTTTTGTGGCCATCTACAGTCTTCGGTCTTCAGTCTTCATCGACATCAACGCACTCCTTTGTTTGCCCGAACCCTTTGGCCTGACCCTTCTTTCTATGGGCCCGATCCCGTCCAAGCCCAAACCGATCCAAGATCCCAGATCCGAGATCCGAAGGGAGAGTGAGTTGGTGCGCCAACTTTGTTTAACTTTGCCTTGGCTTATTGTTTGTTGTGTTGTTTTTATTTTTTGTTGTTACCCCTTTTAAGTTTTTGTGTATTTTTTGTTGTTGATCGCGTTGTTCCTGTTTGTTTTTGTTGGTTTTTGAGGATGCTCTTGCCAAAAATATAAAAAAGGAAGCCCTGGGGTATTTTGATTTTCATGTAGATTCAAAAAGGGCCAAAATCTTAAACTTAAAATATTGTTTCATTTCAAAAAAGTCTTTAAAAGATTTCAGAATGATTTTAATTTTA